GTTCTGTGCAGGTTTTCAGTAGCTTTTCCTAACAGTCCTCTAGTGAAATAAAACAATTTCTGTCCTGCTATGTGGGAACTTTCTCCTGTACTAAAATCTAGGCATTAGCAGTAAAAGTGATGGGCAAATCAGCCTCTCTGGCTGCAGTCAGATGCTATTGGCTATTGCAAGTACCAGGTATCAATTTTTAGTCTCCACAAGTCCATGCTTCACTTAATCAAAGATCACTTCACTCTCAAGGCTGAAAGGAACTCAGATGGACTTTCAAATCCCTCATGCCCTGACTGCTAGTCAGGGAAACTTCCCATGTTTGATGCCATTTCCTTGAACTCTCCAAGGGCCTATCCTCTTTATTCCATATGTTAGAAAACCAGGTAGAAAAATGTAGTCAACCTCATAAAATTTAAAAAAAAAAAAAGCTTAAAAGTACACAACAGTATCAGCTTTTAGGTTTTGAATAAAATAATTTTGTGTGTGCATGCTGCATTATTGCATATTCCTGGAAATATCTCATCCTCTTCCAGTCAGTAAATGCCTTGTATCTTGCTTTTTCTACAGTAAAATAGCTTAAATAAGGAGTGGAGAATGATTATTAGGGCACTGTTTTATAAGGTGAGAGACTCTATTTGAAGTCTTTCCAGCAGAGATTTTTCCTGCTTCCCGAAAGAGTGCTAATGTCATCTTTTAGACTTTGAGGAGTGAGCCACTTTCAAGATCAGAAATGTTTGTCCAAAGCTGTGTATCTTGAGCTATATGTAGGTGCCTACACGTAGTCCTGCACCTAGCCTCGAAACAGGGCAGGAAGTTCATGCATACTTGTCTGTGGTCTTGAGGTGTTTCCTGAATTATGTTTTGTTTTCTCAGATGCCTAAAATCCCCCATTTTTATAAGGAACTCACATTTCTTAGTAGGTGTCTGAAGGATTCAGTGTCTAAATATTAGAAGTCCAAGGCCTTTACATCTAGCCTTACAAGAATGTAAGAGGCTTGGAGGATGAAATCTCTTTCACCTGTTGTCTGAAGTAACTTCTTACTAGTTTAAAACACGACTTGAACAAAAAAGCAGTTACTCAGGATTTAGCAGTCATTCAGGAGCAGTAATAAACCAAAATGAAGAGACCAGTTTTGTCTTTAATTTATAAGATCCGGGAGTCTCCATCCTTGGAGATATTCAGAAACTGTCTGCACATGGTCCTGGGCAAGGCAGCCTGCTCTAGGTGGCCCTGCTTGACCAGGAGGTTGGACCAGATGTCCTCCAGACGTCCCTTCCAACCTCAACCATTCTGTGATTCTGTGAAATAAAGGTTTAAAAGAGTCGTCTTCTAAATTCATTTGAGAAGGTATGCTTCTTACCAACCAAATTACGTAACTTTCAGGAACTTCCAAATACAAACTGCACAAATTGTGTGACACTCCAGAACTAAAAAACTCACTCAATGCATGCCCAAATAAGATGCTGATTCTCCTGTAGACTGTTTTTCAGCTGTGATTACTAGACAAGGTTATTTTTTAAGTATTGTCATACCTGAGGCTGACAAATTTCAAATTAGTAGTGTTTTTGAGAGGCTGTGCTCTTGAAGGAAGAACATGTTTAAGTTACATCAGGAGGGATAGCTATGTTAGGAGACAATATGCTATTCACAGTAAAAGTCAATTCTTGAGAATAAAAATTCTAATTCTGGTTGAATGTATTTTCTGTCCTCTTAAAAGTACATCTTCAGTACAGTAATTTCTAGACCAAAGTGATTTTTTTTTGTTTGAAGTTCACATAATCTACAACAGTTGCTTTATATAGAGCTGGAGTGTTCAAGTTCCTAGTTTCATCCTACTCTTTCTGCTACTGTCTAGTATTTTCTGGCACCACACCACCTCAAATAGGTGCCAGAAACTTTCTTCAGCCTTCTTCTTGTAATAGAGCTTATACTGAATGATAGTGTGATGATCGCATTCATTAATATCGTAAAAGTAGGACGTTCAATGTTGTATCCTGATACAAATTTCATTTGGGATGATGATTTGAGATACTTGCAACCTTTTGTCTTAGTATTAAAAGGTTTCAAATCATCACGTTTATTAACTTGATAAATTTATTATTTATTAACATAATAATATAAGCTTCACCTGATTTTCAGTATAAATATACAACTAATTTCATTTGTCGAAAGCAGGCTTGTTCTTCATTTGTTCCGATTGTAGGTAAATTCTGGAGGAGAACATAAGTCAGGCTTCTTTGTAGAAAGCTCTAAAATTGCAGTGTTCCCTCAAGCTGGCTGGTCGGTCTTTACTGGTGTAGCAGCTTCAGGCAAGCACCAAGCTTTCTGTCCATGTTCTGTGATATGGTGTGCTGGCTTACTTGATCTTGGAGGAGCTACACGAATTAAAATGAGTTAAGTCTGTGTTTAGTACATTGATTTGAAAAATATTGATTATATTTAATGTATTAAATGAAAGCTTTTGACATACATTTTGAGTCAGCCTAAATATCTATTGAATTTTGAAGTACAGCTAGGGAAGCTATAATGTTAAGGCAGAATGGCCTCATCTTATCCATTTTTAGGAATGAAGCATAAAAGAAAGTATAAGTAAACTATTTGATATCTAATTAATTCATATGAACGTATATCAGTCAGCTATTAAAATGTTTTTGAATGTTTTAAATGTATCTTTGTTACTAATTTAAATTATTAATTATCGCCTCTTATTCCCTATCTCCAGAGCAAACTGAAAAAAGATTTAATTACTGCCACAAGAGTTATTGTTTTATTCAAAATGTTGTCTCTTGACTCTTCAAGGTGACAGATTTGAATAAGTGAACAGAAAACAGACCCCCCAAACTTTTTAATTAAACATTTTTTGTAACTTAATGGTTGGGGGTGTGTATATATCAAAGTGCCTACTTCAAAAACTTAGTGTACAAAATTGAGCTCTAAAAGTAAGTCCTGTAACAGCTTGAAAAAACTGTTGGAGAAAGGGAGGGGTTTTTTTTAGCACAATTAGGTATGCAAAATGTAATGGTTGTGCCATTTATCAACTAGCAAATACTTTGCCTGCTTATTAAGCATCCCTGTGATCTCCCTTAGAAAATTGACTGTGATGGAATTTGTTTCTTGGGTTGAAGAAGAGTGCTTACAACAGATCTCAAGCAGCCTTCTCTGATGATAGAACATCATTATTCAATGAAATGGTCGAAGAGGGGTGACTGATTGAAAGATACTGGCTGTTCCATTTTTTTCAAGAGTGCTGAGCACCTAAGCTTATGAAAATATTAAAATGAATACAGACGCTGCAGGTTAAGATACCCCTTGGCAAACAGATCTCTGTCCATAATGCTGTTCAGTTCCATAATTCTGAAACAAGACTCTGTGTATGTTCTGTGCTATGTGTGACTGTCTAGATAACAATCATGCTAAGACTTTTCTACCTTCTTGTTTAAAAGATCTTTCATCTTGTATCTACATTTCATTCTCTTCTGTAAATTAGTCGTGCAAGACTTAAATTTACTAATGTCACTGGGTAGCTTTGCTTTGAATGCAAGACTTAACTTACCTAACAGTTCAAACACACATCACCTTTTTGTACTTCTTAATTTACTTCCTGATTCCTCATTACTGCAGAGTTCAGGAAGATGGTTTCTCTCTGTCCTAAGGAAATAACTTAACAGATTTCATTTATATATATATTTTTTTTTATACAAATGTTTCTTGATCTGAATTCTTACGATTTCTTTGTAATGTAGCTCTGGTATGACCCAAGTCATTGTTTAAATCATGCATTTCAAACTGAAAATTTGTTTGCAGAACACTTTCAAAAACCTTTTTTTTTGCTTTATAAGATCAATATTTTCCACTTAAGAAGTGAGTCAAGAATGTTCCTAGAAACTGGCTTCCTAAGAATTATGAATTGTACTATTTTGATTTCTGTTGACAACATTTTTGTTTGCGTATTTATATAATATTTAATGTTCAGATTATCTAAATGTTTTAGTAGGATTTTTTGAAGTTGCTGGTGTTTCAGTTGTTCATTTTGCTACCTATGGCATCTCACATATGGTTCAGTACTATTGAAAGGGAATACAGTGGATGCTCACCAATAAAGGTTTGAGCAATATTGTAAACAGCATGCACACAAGCTCTTGATGGGAAGGGAAGTTGCCTTGTGCATTTGAAGCAAGAGATGTGTATAGTTTTTGTCAAGTTAATGCTGCAGAAACATTTTAGATGTAGTCAGTTGATCTGGGAAGGGAAAGGTAGTGATCAAGTGATGTAACTCTTGCATTTTAGTACTGAAAAAGTGAAAGACAGACTTTGGCACATTTGAAATACAATTTCAGATATGGAATTGTAGTGATGTTTCTTCAGTGTACTTGAAAACTGTTGATAAATTTTAACCTTACTCAAACAACTCTTAAAGAATTTTGAAACGGCTTTGAAATCTTCTTTGGTATTTAGTGGCTTCAAAAGGTCTGTCTTAGGATCATGAGACTTATTTTCCCTTTGGTAAATTTAACATACAATTAAAATAACATATTTGATGCCACAGCAACCAAATGGGATACTAGAAGCAGTACAATGTGTGTATTAGTATCTTAATTTGCTAACAAATCCTGAAGAAGGTGCAAAGAATTAGTAGTATCTGCTATATAATTGTGCATTTAATGTCTGTTGACCATTTTCAACATTGGTTCAGTCTTTGTGAATGTTCTCCATATGTTTAAAAAAAAACCCAGCAAAAAACTCATCTTGTTTGTTAGTACTCTTAATGAATTTGAAATCAGGTTTACTTTTTTAAACCCATAATTTCAAATTGGCAGCTGAAGATATAAAATACACGGTTATAAGCCTTACAGAAAACAGTGAATTGTATTTTTTTGAGAGCTGCTTAGCATCTTCTAGAGATTGCACTTAAAGATTTTTCTTTTTTTTCCCCGAGTTTTGCGTCAAGATTTGATACTATATGAAGTGTCGAAATAAGTGATTATGTTTGCCTTTCCTTCTTCTACAGGTAAATTATTTCACATTGACTTTGGTTATATTTTGGGTCGGGACCCTAAGCCTCTACCTCCCCCAATGAAGCTGAATAAGGAGATGGTGGAAGGTATGGGAGGCACGCAGAGTGAACAGTACCAGGAGTTCCGTAAGCAGTGCTACACAGCCTTTCTCCATCTCCGCAGGTAACAATACTGTTTTGATGCTGAAATTTGTTAGAGCCACAATAAAGCAGGAGAGGAGAGGAGTAAATGAATCGGAGAAAATATTTCTGTTGAAAATTTGAAACTCGTTTGAAATCTGAACATGGACACACAAATTTGTACGAAACAAAGGAATGAAAACATCACAACATTGGTGTAGTGTGGAGCTTGAATGTAATTGCCCTTCACGTTAAGGTCCCCAATTTTGCTTCTTTAATAACCTAATAACTTTTTTATAACTCCTGTGGGCTATTAATTTAGATCTTGCTTTTTGGATATGTTTTTGCCCTTAAGCAACTTTTTCTCTCATTATTGGTGATCAATTAACTGTCCTTTTAAAGTCATTACTCATTTGCTGCTTTATCCTCCTCCAGTTTAGATTAGTGATCATCAAATTCTTTGGTTTGAAGATGGCATACATAAGCTTAGTTGGGTTCAGGTCTTGCGGGACAAAAATTAGCTACTTGTAGTGACAATCAAGTATGTTAGCAGTTTCTGTAGATACCCAGAACTGTGTTAGCTAAAACCTCTTTAGACTGTATTTATTTACAGACCAACAGATTTCTCCTTTAGATTTGGAATCAGCTTGATTATTTTGCAGTGACCATATCACTTACCATCAACTTTCTGAGCCAGGTAGCTCAGCTGTGTTCTGTTTGAACAGAACGCAGATAAGCACTCTTGGTCTGTCCAGTGATTGATTTTAGTACATCTTCCATGGAGATGAAAGAATTTCACTTTGATATCAAGACCACATAATGTAAACCTCCAAATATGTGGAAAAAAATTAGTAATACGAAAAGCATATGTGAAAAGTACATGTAGTATGAAAAGTAGGCAGTCGATTCAAAATAAAAATGCTACATGTAGTTCTCTCCTTGTTAAAAGGAGAAAGGATAAGGAATTGGTTTGTGAACTGACATTATTAATGGGTTAAAAGCAATTCAGCAGCATGAGAAAACAGCAGCATGTTATCAGCAAACAATATTCATGACTTCAGAGAACAATCAGGAAGACTAATGTATATCCCATGTTCTAAATTTTGCTTAAAACAGTTTTGTAATACTGTATTTCTTATTTGTGAAATACTTGAGTTGTTTTTAGTGTTTAAACTTAGCTTTCAATGGAAAGGTCTGTTGTGTCAGTGAAAGATTATCCATTGCATTAATTTATGTAATGATTTGCTACAAAGATCATCATTAAGTGTGGAGTATAGCAGTAATTTGGGTATAAAACTAAACTGTAAATCAAGATGGTTTCATTTTTAATGTCTGGGGTTGTAGTTGTAATTACAGTCTCTCCAATATTTGCTCAGTTTAATAGGAAAGTGTTTTTAAATGGTTTTGGATAAATATCTTTAAGGCTTTCAACAAAGGTAGCATAGGATAATATTAGTATTACTATGACTATTACTTTAAGCAGCTAGAACTAAATGATTAAGATTACTTGCTTATTGAAAAAAGAATAATTAGAGGTGGAATGGCTTAGTTCTAACAGTTCTGCATGTTGACACAAACCTGTTCACGGATACTTCTTCTGGCTAAGTAATGTGAAATCATAACCTCTGATTGCTAAGACAAAATGCAAACTGTGTTTGTCATCTCCGTCAATTTGTGTTGTATTCTTTCTTCTTTACTTCCATGTGGTATAGACAGTTCTCTACATATTTCAAGTGCTGTATCTCAGTGTTTCAGGATTCCTGGTGGAATGGGTGTTGCATAGTGAAAACAAATAAAAATAATTTATAAGTGGAAAAATAGTTTTGTTCATTGTTTTAGGTTGGAAGCAGTTTGGCATATGATCATTGGTGTGCAGTTTCTTGTTGGTTTGGGTTTTTTTTTCGGGGGGTAGGAGAGATGCTTTGCACTTTTTGAAACAACAATAATCAGTTGTGTGTGTTTGTCAGCAGTGCTGTAATGAAGGAGCAGCCTCTGCATTCTGAATGTGTTGCAGGGCAAATTGTGGCTGTCAGCAGAACTTGCATCCTCACTTGGGCTGTAGTAGCCTTTTACACCTTCATTATACACATTGGGCCTATTTAAAGATGTTCAGGTCCTGTTATGTGTCAGCATTTCCCTTCCTCCAAGAATTCCCAGTTGACACATCCTCAGCAGGATCCAGCAGAGAAGAATCCAGCATCAACATTTGAAAGTTCTTCCCAGAGTGAGGTTCTAGATTGTAAGGATTTCCCCTGTGTTAGTCATGTGAGAAGTTTGATGTTCAGTTTGAGTTAGTAGGCATAGGTAGGAACAAAGGGTTGGGAAGAAACCAGAGACAGAAGCTGTAGTTTGGGCTGAGATACTTGCTCTGTATGGGGGATACCCAGCTGGTTGGACCGAAGTGTTTTTCCCCAGACTGTTCTCAATGGTATAGCGGACAGAGGAGGCCATATAGATCTGAATGAAAAAATAGGCAAGTGGAAAGCTGTGATGGCCTTGGGAAATGCTGATTCTTTGGAAAGGTTGTAGCTGGGCAGTGTAGGGTCTACATAGTCTTCTAAAAGCTGGGGGTAGATGGTGAAGAAGGAAGAGCAAAAGTGAAACTGGTTGGGATCAGGTCAGTTTTGCTTGAGTCTGGACTGCGAGGAAATGTTTTGGAAGAATAAGTGCCATAGTTCATTATAGCTGATTGACACATAGCGATTGGGGAGCGTATGTATGTCGTGAAGAGAAGAAATGAGTCGTGGGGGGACCCAAGTTATATTGCAGGAAAGACAATCCCATTTTAAATGTAGGAATTTTTGAGTTAGACCAGGTAAACAGGGCTTTAGTTTGGGACTGCGACTAACTTTCCTGTCCTGTCTTTGTAAGGGAAGTTGGTAGCTTCAAATTTGATAATGTATTGCAATGTCAACAGCCTAAATGTTCAGTTGGTTTAAGACATCTATATACAAAGGGGCCAGTAAATGATAAAAAAATAAC